CTTTAGCACATGCTTCATATCCGCTTTTATATAGTGTATTATTGGCACTGCACATACTCGCGTATAAGTCGAACACGTGTAAGTCAAGGGCAGGTTTGGGGGTCATAACACTATGTAAAAAATCTGTTCCTGATTTGAAAGTGTTATTTCCTGTTTAATTGTGCGGTACTTTCTTTGAAAGTAATTGTTATACTCCAGAAACTTCGTTTTTGTGGCTGTCACAAACTCTGTTGAATCGGTTGAGACTCTATGAGATATTCATTGAAAAACTATAGCAAAATGTGCTGCAGGATGTCCCACAAGAACAAAGTTTTTGCAGTTTAATAAACCTTTTCCACGTTTTTATAACAGAACCAATTAAAAAATGACATTTGTAACCTAGGAACAAATTTATGTTACCTAGTATTTATAAGGTGTCACTATAAATGTGGAAACTTGTATGCAGAACACATCATGCGGGGATGTGCGGGGCTTGAGGAATGCAAGGCTGGGGTGGAAAACAATTCTATATAAATAAAAATGTAATGTTCATTTGTGGGATTAAAATAACTCAAAAACCACTGGACGAATTGACACCAAATTTGGGCACAAGACACCTATCAGGCCAACAAGTGACCATCACTTATAAAACACTGAAAAACGCAGCAGGAGAGACTTAAAAAGCCAAAAAAACAAAAATTACATTACAACGCATGTGCAAAATCACGCAAACACACATATACACAAATATATACGCACACATATACACACACAAAACACATATACACAGACTGGGCTACAGCAATGCATGACAGGGGATGGATAGTATATAAAATAGAAATAAAGAGTTCTCCAAGGTACCCAGTTTGTTTTGTTTGTTTTTTTAAAGGGAAAACTACTAGTTTTTTTTCTTGGACTCATAAAACTCCTCTATAAACCTTGCCAAACTTTATGACCAAAACCAGCAACATCCTATCAAAGGAAATATTAAAGATACTCTTCAAAAATAAAATAAAAAGAACAGAAAAAATAATAAAAACCTTTGCTCTGGAGAGAGCAATTTCTGGTATTCTGAACATACCCATTTACAACTCGTAATTGGTGAAACAGCGAACTATAAATCCAAAGCAAATCCATTGTAACAAATTGAAAGGCTGGTGAATGGAAAACTACAGGATTTGACATTCCAGTTTAGCATTACCTTAACTGAAAGAGTTTATTTTGAAAAATACAAAAATGGACTGAAACAATATATTTCAATTGGAAGGGAGTTGTCCTCTTTAAACGTTACAAAAACAAAGGGGAATTACTTCTGTTTGAATGAATAAGACAGAACATCTGTTCTCCTAACAGATGGCTCATCAACGGAAAGGCTAGGCAACTTTAAGTGGTCTAAGATGGCTGGTCATTCTGGGACTCTAGAAGTTTAAGACTGGAAGCGATAACTGAGTGGAAAAAAAAAGGCAAATCACTTATTGAGTTGATCTAGAAGGCCAAACTGGTATTTGCATTGTTAATGTGCCATGGCACTCAGGCAATCTGTGAAGCATTTCAAAACAAATAAGTTGTCTTAACAAATGTACTAAATATAATGGAGGCAGAGAAGATGTGCTACAAAAAAGGTGAATATGGAAAAAAAATCTTAAAAGTACTGGAAAAGGAAGACTGGAAGAAAAGAACAAATAGAAGCAAGGAGTATGTGGCAAAACATCAGCGGCAAAATCAGCAAGTATCTATGATTTCAATCCAGTTTCTATCAAATGGATTTTTTTTTGTAGTAGTGATGCATCTATATTAGACTTTCACAAAAGACATGGCAGAAATACCACATTCTCCCTTATATCAGTGGTTCTCAACCTGTGGGTTTCCAGATGTTTTGCCCTTCAACTCCCAGAAATGCTAACAGCTGGCAAACTGGCAGGAATTTCTGGAAGTTGTAGACCAAAACATCTGGGGACCCACAGGTTGGGAACCACTGCCTTAGATTATGAAGGAAGAGGGAAAATTAGTCTTCCCAATCTAAGGTTTCCAGGGTGAAAATGAAGGACGTGGTCTACATGCCAATCACGCTGTTCTCTTTAGTATCACAGATTTGCACACTTACATGGAAACAGAAACATCAGAGTTCCACAAGTATATTTCAACCTCAGAGTGTGCTCTAAAAGTTCTCCACTAAAGACTAGATGGAAATCACTTTGAATTCCCAGGACGAAGATACAATTCCGTGGTAGAGGCCATACTCTGGGGTCAAGAGCCTCCAGGTTTAATTCCCATCATATTTGATAGGGACTAGGAAAGACCCTGAAGAACCACATCCCATCAGTGTAGACAATGCTCAGGAAAGTGGGTCAACAGAACGATTTAACAAAATCCAAATATCCAAGGATCACCAGATCCCAACACTCAGTGGTTAAGAAACATGCCAGTATTGATGGCCACTGTGGAGCCAAGACACAAAAAGGCAATTACTAATCTTCCCATTTACCTCCACCTGTCAAATCCCTAAACTTATCAACTTAAAAAGCAACTCAAAACATAAATACATTCCATTTAATCTGTACTAATATAGATGCACATTTATAACATTTTGGCAAGGGGCCCTTCCAGACAGGCTCTATATCCCAGGATCTGATCCCAGGTTTTCGGTTTATCCCAGATTATCTGGCACTCATACTATCCAGTTCAAAGCAGAAAACCTGCTGAGATACAGGGCCTGTCTGGAAGGATCCTAGGATACCTGTTCTAGGTGTTTTGGGTAAATGGTAAAAGACAATTTTAACGTGAATAAATTAAAAAACAACAACAATCTTGCATGGAAACCAAAGCAATTGTATACTGGTCCAAACAAAAGTAGTGGTAAGCCAAGCAAAAACCGTAGCTGCAGAGGACACTTTAAAACCCAGAATTCATTTTATTAATGTATTGGGATCAATACCAGAACACTGGTGAGGACATAGTTCAAATTCATTGCTTTTATACCGCCTATTCCTGCAGCCATGAATGTTCTTGGACACAGACAGACAAAGGCAGAAAGAAGTTCAAAGTATAAAAAGCTGTCATGAACTCTCAGCGACATCATTCTTCAGATAAGGATGTTTATATGAATCCTTGAGAACTGAATTCTTCTCTCTCTCTCCTGCTGAAGGAGGGGTTTTATTTATTTTATTGTGACCTTTTTTCACTACTAGTTACTTATTATAGGAGCCAAGGTGGCGCAAAGGGTTAAACTGCCAAGCTGATGAACTTGCTGACTGAAAGGTTAGCAGTTCAAATCTGGGGAGCGGGGGGAGCTCCTGTTGTTAGCCCCAACTTCTGCCAACCTGGCAGTTTGAAAACTTGCAAATGTGAGTAGATCAATAGATATCACTCTGGTGGGAAGGTAACAGCACTCCATGCAGTCATGCCGGCCATATGACCTTGGAGGTGTCTATGGACGATGCTGGCTCTTGGGCTTAGAAATGGAGATGAGCACCACCTCCCACAGTTGGACATGACTAGACTTAATGTCAAGGGGAAACCTTTACCTTTTACACTAATGAGGAATATAAGCCTTTTGAAGGTGTTGAACTGTAACTCGTTACTGGTTATAGATACTATAGTCTAAAAACAATTACAGGGCAACTGACAACAAAAGATCATGGCCGCAGCTACAAATGCAAATGACATAAAAGGCCATCACATAAACAAGGAAAATAACCAATCAAAATAGTATTTATATCATACATGAAAAACAGAGAAATCAAAATGCCAAAGTTTTTTTTTCCTTCAAAAGGGATCAAATTTGCCTCCAGGCTTGGAAAGGCGGTATACAAATATGGAAAATAAATTAAACAAATAAATAAATACAGAAAACGAGTTTGCCTGAGTACATAGAGATGCCATCGAAATCTACAAGCACGTGGACAATTTCAACAGAAAAGAAGAAACTCCTGAAAATGAACAAAATTTGGCTACCAGTATTGGTCATAAGTTGTTGGCTAGGAGCAAAACATTACACACAGATCAGAACTATCAAAATGTATCAAATCACCTTGGTAAAAGGATTGGAAAATTGTATTTTATAGCAAAAGAATGCATATCCTGTAAAGTTTGTTTAGATGGATTTGGTACCTTTTGGAAACAAGCTTCACAAATATATGCAGATTTAAATGGATTGTCACCCATATAACATACAACATAGTCCAAGGTAACAACACATATATGGCATATGACAAGATACTATCAAATTCTATATAAATCCATGGTGTAAATATTTGGCGTCAAAAAACATGAGTTGAAAAATTGCTATGTAACAGTAAAGTTCCTAAGTTACAAACATCTGACTTACAAATGACTCAAAGTTAAGAATGGGGATGAGACAACAGGAAGTGAGAGAAATCTATTCCTCAGAAGGAAAATTCAGGGATAGATTTATCACCAATCATTGTTTCTACAACTGGATTTTTCAAAATCCAATTTTCACAGGGTCAGAAAATGAAGTGAAATCTTCTCAACAGATAGCAAAACGAATACCACAAAGGTGTTAACACACACACACGTACATATATGGCTGGAGTTACATTGTTCCAACTTACAAACAAATATCTTGATCATAACTTGGTAACTGCCTATACACATGAACAAAACCAAAATGAAGACTATATTAAGTAAACAAACTCCATTCTGACCTTCTCTAAAGATCTTGGTGATTTAGGGCGATGTTGATAGGAAATGAAATGTTTTTTGACACTCCATCTTTGGGTAGATTTTGTTATTTTCTTGCCATAGATGTATTAACTTTTGCCACATTGTTTGCTACTTTTCACATTGTATGTATTCACTGTCTGGAGGACTACACATCCCAAGCCTCTGGCACAAACCCAACTTCTGTGGCATTAAGAGTTTAGGCCATCTAATTTAATTTAGGTCTTAATCTAATCCAGGGCTTTAAAAATGCACTTCAACTATCATGGTCCAAATTCTCACTGAAGAAAAACATTGGTCAAATATCAGCATACTTTTGTGGATTTCGTTTCAGTTACCTGTCAGCTTTCAGCAGCAAATTCGACGGTAGCTCCGTAAGTAAGTTGTGTTGTACATCCAGGACTTCCACGTGTGTTCGTTCAATCCTCTCTGGGAGCCGTGCTAATTGATTGTGTCCTGCAAGCAACTTCCTCAAGCTGATATTGCAAAATAACCTTTAAAAAAACATACAAACAATAAGGAACCAACTCACACAAATTTGCCATGAATAATACTGCAAGGGGAAAAATGAGTATTTAGATTATGCAACCTGTTGCTTCACTGTGGGAAGGCTTCCATTCACCAAAACAAATGATACAGGGTTTCAATATATTGTAGCATATTGTTGCTGAATGTCACATATTTTAAAAGATTCTACTCAAAATGATCTCTCTACACAAGAGCGAACTTCGGTGTTCTAGGACTCAGAGAAATGAGTTCAAATTACAGGAAAGGAGATTACACCTGAAAATAAGAAACAACTTTCTAGAGGTGTTCAACAGTGGAACTCTCTGCCTCAGAGAGTGGTGGAAGCTCCTTCCTTGGAAGTTCTGAACAGAAGCTTGATGGGCATCTGTCAGGGGTGATTTGAGTGTGCTTTTCCTACATGGCTGAGGGTTGGACTAGATGGCCACTAGAGTCTTATAGAATCATAGAATCATAAAGTTGGAAGAGACCTTGTAGGCCATCTAGTTCAACCCCCTTCCAAGAAGCAGGAATATCACATTCAAAGCACCCCTGACAGATGGCCATCCAGCCTCTGATTAAAAGCCTCCAAAGAAGGAGCCTCCACCACACTCTGAGGCAGAGAGTTCCACCGCTGAACAGCTCTCACAGTCAGGAAGTTCTTTCTAATGTTCAGGTGGAATCTCCTTTCCTGTAGTTTGAAACCATTYTTCTGTGTCCTAATCGCCTGYGCAGCAGAAAACAAGCCTGCTCCCTCCTCCCTATGACTTCCCCTCACATCTTGATACATGGGCATCATGTTTCCRCTCAGCCTTCTCTTCTGAAGTTTAAACATGCTCAGCTCTTTAAGCRGCTCCTCATAGGGCTTGTTCTCCAGACCCTTGATCATTTTAYTCACTKTCCTCTGGACACATTCCAACGTGTCAACATCTCCCTTAAATTGTGGTGCCCAGAARTAGACACTATTCCAGGTGTGGTCTGATCAAGGCAGAACAGCGGGGTAGCATGGRTTCCCTGGATCTAGACACTAGACTCCTAWTTAATCAGGSCAAAATCCCTTTGGCTTTTTTAGCTGTCGCATGACATTGTTAGCTCATGTTTAATTTGTTGTACACGAGGACTCCAAGATCTTTTTCACACATACTGCTGTTGAGCCAGGTGTCCCCCATTCTGTATTTCTGCYTTTCATTTTTTTCTGTCTAAGTGGAGTATCTTGCATTTGTCTCCYTTGAACTTCATTTTGTTAGTTTTGGCCCATCTCTCTAATCTGTTGGAATTATTTTGAATACTGCTCTTGTCTTCTGGAGCATTGGCTATCCCTCCCAATTTCGTGTTGTCAGCAAACTTAATGATCCCACCTTCTAACTCTTCATCTAACTCATTAATTCCAGCTGTATGATTCTTAGGGACCCATATTGCCTTTTAGACAGCACTCCATGTCAAGGTCACAAACCCCTGTTTGATGTCGTATTGATTTAATGAACCAAACTTCAGATTATTAAGAGTTTATTCTTAGATGGAAAAAATATAGTTAGATTAAACCAGGAATGAAACATTTTCAATCTCCTAGCTAGCAAGAAAATAAATACATATGGAAGCCCAAGGGAAATTTTAGCATCCTATTGAAACCAGATTTCCTGTGAAAACATTTTCCTCAGATATATAATAGTGTAATAGCCTGATTGCAAATCTTAAGAATAGATTTATCAGGGATCTTGACTGGACTATGGACTATACTCGGCAATAAAACCTACCTAGATGCCCTCTGCAAAATGCAACCACTATTGTTTCAACTTTAACTGCCATAGGTACATCCTGCAAAATCCTGGGGCTTTTAGTTTTCTGTTTTGTAGAGCAATAGGATTTTCTGAGTGAGAATGCTAAGTGCCATTCCCTAAACTGTAAATCCCAGTGATTGAAGTTCTGGCCCAGATTACTTGTCCAAACGTATCTCCTGCTATGAACCATCATGAAGCTTAAGATCATCAGGAGAGGCCCTGCTCTCGATCCCACCACTTTCACAAATGCGGTTGGTGGGGACGAGAGACGGGGCCTTCTCGGCAGTGGCCCCCCGTCTGTGGAATTCCCTCCCAAAGGACATCAGGTTGGCCTCCTCCCTCCTGTCCTTTAGAAGACAACTGAAGACCTGGCTCTGTAGCCAGGCATTTGATTAGATCAGGGGTCATAAAACTTTTTAAACAGAGGGCCAGGTCACAGTCCCTCAAACTGTTGGAGGGCCGGATTATAATTTGAAAAAAACATGAATGAATTCCTCTGCACACTGCACATATCTTATTTGTAGTGCACAATCCACTTAAAAACAATACAATAATTAAAATGAAGAACAATTTAACACATTTAAACTTATTAGTATTTCAATGGGAAGTGTGGGCCTGCTTTTGACCGATGAGACTGTTGTTGTTGTTGTAGTTGTGCACTTTCAAGTAGTTTCAGACTTAGGTTGACCCTGAGCGAGGGCCGGGTAAATGACCTTGGAGGGCCGCATCCGGCCCCCGGGCCTTAGTTTGAGGACCTCTGGAGTAGATAATAATGACAATAGGAAAGGATTTTGGGTTGCGACACTGGATTTCCCGGTTTGATTTTTGTTTTACTAGCATTGTAATATTATCTGGTAAATGAATGTATTGGCTGATGTGTTTGATATTTTAAGATGATTTTACTGTTTTACTGTATTCTTTGATGTATATGTTGTAAGCATCGTTGATGCCTATGTGAGGCCGCTCTGAGGCCCCTTGTGGGGAGAAGGGTGTGATAGAAATGTATGAAATGTATGAAATAAAGTGAAGGTAAAGATTTTTCCCTGACATTAAGTCCAGTCATGTCCAATTCTGGGGGTTGGTGCTCATTTCAAAGAGCTGGCCTTGTCCACAGACACCTCCAAGATCATGTGGCCTGCATGACTGCATGGAGCACCGTTACCTTCCCGCCGGAGCAGTACTCATTGATCTACTCACATTTGCATGTTTTCCAACTGCTAGGTTGGCAGAAGCTGGGGCTAACAGAGGGAGCTCACCCTGCTCCCCAGATTCGAACTGCTGACCTCTCGATCAGCAAGTTCAAATGCTCAGCGGTTTAACCCACTGCACCACTGATTAAAGTGAAAGTAAAATGTTATAACTATGTGAGCGTGTTACCGGTAAGAGGCGAGATAATTCTCAAGCACAGCACCCAGCATGCCCACACAACATCTCTGGTTCAAAGCTCTAAAGTTAAAATCTCTTTGCACATGGAAAGCCTACTAAGGGAGGAGGAACTGCATAAAAATATTGGCCATAAACATTTCATCTCACCACATTAGTGAACACCCAAAGAGATGAAAAATATTACCCTCTCCTATCTTATTTTGCCTCCAGGGCTCAAGAAATCCTGTCCATCCATCATATGCTGACTCAGAATCTGATATTCTCTTTTCATATTCTTCTTCTCCTGCTCCTAACCCTCCCCTTCTAATACCAGACTGGCATAAAACCTCCTTCCACTTCTACAGGGAATGAAATTTATCTAATCCGCTTTACTGTCTTGAGCTTTTCTATGCTACGGGTGGTCGACCATTCGGAGGAGGAGGAGGGGAACGGAGAGAAAACTACCTTTGCTTTAGGAGGTGATAAGGCTCTTGCAAACCCAAAACAATTCCAGATCAGGAAGTAGAAACCCCAAGAATGAGGCCTGCCTTTAAAATGTCACACTCCTTTGAAAGGATGACACAAGCAGCAACATTTTGGTGATGCTGCGTAGCGGGGTTTTCATAGTGGGGGAAGCTCTTCCTGAAGAAGGAAGATTATTCTCATCTACCACCTGCCTTGCGCTTGCTGTGTCTGTACGGTTTAATCAAGAGGAGCCTATGGCCCACGGCTGACCCTGCTCTCCATCAAGGACTTGCAAATTACTCAGCACTGCAGAGGAAGCCTTCGCCACCCCTTTGCAGACTGGAAAACGCACACACAAAACCTCTGGAAGATTTATGGGCGGCTTTCTCGGTTGTTGCTTCCCTTACGCTTCCCCCACCCCACACTAACTGGAGCCACCCATGATAATCAGGTCACAAAGTTTGGATCATCAGGGAAATCATGCCAAAGTAATCAATAAAAGGCTGAGTTTTTTCCCTTGTGGATGTCGTCAGATAATCTCCACAACTGCCAGAATTCACAGTTGCTGTCTGAGGACGCAAGTCAATAACCTCATGTTGCTTCTGCAAGACAGCTTGAGTGGGTGTGGCTGCAAGGTTTGTTTCTCTCCCACTTTGGTGGGAAATGCCCCAAATTTGCAATAAAAGAGGACCTCATACACTTTCCTTTCGAATGTATAACCAGAAGGCACTCATTCTAATTCTATCCATCTCCAGATGCTGGCTGGAACAGAACTCAAGTTGTCTTTGACTCCCACCAGCATTGTTACCAACAAATTTAGTTGTTTGAAGGCTTCTGACACAGGGCACACAAACCTAAAAGTATGATGTTCGCAATCTCTGAGGATGCCTGCCATAGATGCAGGCGAAACAACAGGAGAAAATGCTTCTAGAACATGGTCATATAGCTGGAAAAACCTACAACAACACAGTGATTTAAGCCATGAAAGACTTTGACAAATTCATAGATTATTTCTGGTCTTAATACAAATAGCATGTGATCAATGCCTACTGAAATCTTGCATGCTCCTGTGTGGAACAATAACACAAGTAAATTAAGCAAATCCTGAGGAAGTTGCTAGGTCAGGAAAAAACAGCAAAACAAAACAAAACAAAACAAGAAACTCCCAGTAGGTTCAGACTTTTTAAGCTGCCCAAATCTTTTCTGTTCCCAGAAATTCTACTATAGCCACAACAGTAATCTTGGGTCCCATAAATAAATAAACAAAGAAAGAAACAGATAGGGAAGGGGTTCAAGATGTCCACATATTGATCTCTTGTTCTTTACCCTCCAGATGTGTTGGGATGAATGCTTTGGCCCAACACATCTGGAAAGAGCAAGTTTCTAGAATGTAAAGAATAGGATCCTACTGCAACTTGATTACTAAGATCTGATTCTGATTATTGGCCTTCCATTAATATTCAGCACACAATGCTTGTGAAATTTCATCCGGGTGATACATTATGAAACAATAAATCAATGTCACACCTGGACTGATAAGTTTATCCTAATTTTATTCTGCCTTCTCCCAATAAGCCACACAGATCTGGCTCTTTCTACAAACAGATCAGAATCATTTGTTATCTCTGAAACTCAAATATAAACTTGTCCAAACCAGGTCTACATTTACAATATGCTTGTAGGCTACGCACCTTGGAACACAATCTATCATGAGATGATCAACTGGCTTTCCTGCAACCTTTTACTCTGCAACCATCCATCACATAAGTAAGCTTAAAAAAATTTTTTTTGGCAGAGATTCTGTTTTTAGCATCTAGTCACAGATCTGTTTCTTCATTCATACTCTTTGGGCTTTTTAGAACACCCTGCAATTGTTTTTAATTTTTTTAGCAAGTGACAAAAAATTATTTCAATATTTGTGGAACAGAGTTTCAAAATTTTCAACAGCTGCTTTAAAACATTTCTGTCTGGAAATCAGGGAGACTGCATGTTTTAACATAAAGAAGAAAAGCTGCACTGACGTTTATGACACAATGACCATCCCTGGAGTCTAAAAAAACCCATCAAATGGAAGATACACAAAGCAACACACCATCATCTATCACTGAAAGCAGCTAAATACTGACTTAGCAGTTATGTCCAATTTCTGCATCTCATTCCAGGTTGTATAAATGTATTTGTAGGACTCACCGAGCAGGTAGTTCCCGGATTTGATTGTGGCCAAGATCCAGCACTTCCAACTTTCTGCTGTCACAAACCCACTCAGGAACGCTCTCAAGATGGTTTCTATAAAAGAGTCAGAAAAATGAATGAAGACACACAAAAATATCAAGAGTCATGGAAACAAACTGCTCTTAGATACACTGAACGAGGGATGTAGAAATCAAACTTCATAACAAAGTCAAGATTTTGTTATTTAAGCCAATTGCTGATCAACTGCTTAAGTGATGAATTCTCAATTCCTTAACACCTGTCAGGCCAGCCACGATGGCGCAATGGGTTAAACCCTTGTGCTGGCTGAACTCCTGACCTGAAGGTTTGAATATGTGAGATGGGGTGAGCTCCCATCTGTCAGCTCCAGCTTCCCATGTGGGGACATGAGAGAAGCCTCAGACAGGGTAGTAACACATCCAGGCATCCCCTGGGCAATGTCTCTGCAGACAGCTAATTCTCTCACACTAGAAACGACTTGCAGTTTCTCAAGTAACTTCTGACATGATAAAAAAATGTCAGGCCAGTTGAGGCTTTTGGGAACTGGAATTCAGTATCTTCAACAGAGAGACACATCCTTGCACCACAAAATGACCAAAGCAATGAGAACTACATGCAGATTGTTTCCATGTATGTACCTAGTTCCATTATAATTTAACGATGGTGGATTTGCTCATATCACCTTTGAGTATTAATTAATAAGTTAATAGATTACATGAAAGGATCTTTCCCCTATTTCTTTTCTCCCCCCTTTTTAAAACATGAGTGGCATAAAAAAGAAGAAATATGGGCTTTTAAAAATAATTAAATCAATTTGCATAAACACTTTCCAACACACCATTTTCTCAAGAGACAAGCCCATGGGAACATTAAAGATATAATTCAATCAGAGTGAGGAAGATTTGAAGGACCATACACCTTGGATGACAATATAGTATATGGAAATGACAGCAAATGCTTGGGGATTATTTCATTGGGTTATAAGGAAGTTCACTGATAAAGGTTTCCTAGCATTGCTGTATTCTATCTAAGCAATGTTTACACAAGGCTTAGGACTAGAGCTCTGCCCTATGGCAACCTTTTTATTTTACACTGTGCCTTTCTCCCCAGAACTAGGATCAAGACCCCTTACAAAATAGAAGGATGCACCATACAGTAAAGAAATAATAATAATAATAATAATAATATAACCCCCCCCCCCAAAAAAAAAAAAAGAGGAAGGAGTTGTTAAGCCAGAAGGTTGTTTATTTCAAAAGTCTCTCAACCTGGGGGTCGGGACCCCTGGAGGCGTTGCGAGGGGATGTCAGAAGGGTCGCCAAAAACCATCAGAAAACACAGTATTTTCTGTTGCTCATAGGGGTTCTATGTGGGAAGTTTGACCCAATTCTATTGTTGGTGGAGTTCAGAATGCTTTTTGATTGTAGGTGAACTATAAATCCCAGCAGCTACAACTCCCAAATGTCAAAGTCTATTTTCCCCAAACTCCACCAGTGTTCACATTTGGGCATATTGAGTATCCGTGCCAAGTTTGATCCAAATCCATTATTGTTTGTGTCCACAGTGTTCTCAGGATGTAGGTGAACTACAACTCCAAAACTACCCTTCCAGTATTTTCTGTTGGTCATGTGAGTTCTGTGTGGGAAGTTTCGTTCAATTCCATCATTGGTGGAGTTCACAACTCCCAAATGAAAAAAACAATCCCCACCCCAATCCCACCAGTATTCAAATTTGGGCATATCGGGTATTTGTGTCAAATTTGGTCTAGTGAATGAAAGTACATCCTGCTTGTTAGATATTTACATTATGATTCCTAATAGTAGCAAAATGACAGTTATGAAGTAGCAACGGAAATTTTTTTATGGTTGGGGGTCACCACAACATGAAGAACTGTATTAAGGGGTTGCGGCATTAGGAAGGTTGAGAAATACTGTTATAGATTATCATCAACATATTTAAAACAGTGACTTAAACAAGAAAGATTCAAAGCAGTTAAAGAGCAGTACAGTTCACTAATAAAGGCTCTTCTGAAGGTTTTAGAACATATGCCAAACATATTATTTCTTTGCTTAACATAGACTCCTGTATGTACAGTTTTTATTGCAGGATAGGGAGAGAGCCTTCTTCTCTGTGGCTCCCCAACTCTGGAACTCATTGCCTGGTGAGATTAGGAAAGCCCCTACCTTAGAAACCTCTCAAGACCTGGCTCTGCCGCTGCACTTTTGGAAAGTAGCCACACAAGCTTTAGCTATTGCTCCCTTCAACATTTTTGTCCTAGGAGTACCCCCCCCCCCACCTTGTACGATGGTATGTTTATTACACTGTTTCTGTATGAGTCCTCCCATGCAAATAATCTGCTCCTTTTATCTCATCCTGAGTTTTTAAACTATTTTATTGTACATGCGGCCTGCTCACTGTCATTATGTTTGTTTATTGCTTTGTGTATATTGCTTATTGTATTCATATGTTTTGTATTTTACTGCGATGTTGTTTATTTTATTGTAATTTGTATTTTATGTTACTGTAATTTGTTGTTTGGGCTTGGCCTCATGTGAGCCACCCCGAGTCCCTGTTGGGGGAGATGGTGGCGGGTATAAATAAAGATTATTTATTTATTTGTTTGTTTGTTTGTTTATTATTATTATTTTACTTACACAAAAGCACAGTATGTCACAGCAAACAAGATCTATACGCTGGATTTCCTTTCACAAAATCACAAGTCGAACACTTCCCAAGCATCTAGGACTGTGTGATATATTTTCGAATGATGTACACAGATCCAAGTAAGGATCTTTTGCAATTGACAGATCGTGATTTGCCGGCTGAGATATTTTGGCACGGCACCCAGTATGCCGCTGACCACTGGGACCACCTGTACTGGTTTATGCCAGAGCCTTTGCAGTTCGATTTTGAGGTCTTGATAGTGGCTGAGTTTTTCCTGTTGTTTTTCCTCAATGCGGCTGTCACCTGGTATGGCGACATCAATAATCCAGACTTTTTTTTTTCCACAATCGTGATGTCTGGTGTATTGTGTTCCAAAACTTTGTCAGTCTGGATTCGGAAGTCTGACAATTATTATTATTATTATTATTATTATTATTATTATTATTATTATTAAAATATAGACAGATGCAGGTTTATGCAGTTACCTTTGAATACAGTTTTCCAGCAGAATATCAAAAATTTAAAAGAAGTTTTAAAGGGCCCTACTTATACCTAAAGAGGTTTTCAGCTGGAAGTGTTTACAGAGAGGCAAAGAGTATTTGTATTAATTATATTCAAATATATTTTTCATTAAAGGGCTTGGGGGAAAAAGATACCATGTTACTCTAAAATGTTCCTCTGGGGGGAAAATGCATGCATCATAGACCTTTTCAATATGCATATTATGAAAAGAAGTCACTAAAAGAGTCTCGGGGATATTGTAAAATCAAACATCCTTCATTATTATGGCTTGTAGAAATAGGGAAACACTGCTCCCCCCCCCCCCCCAATAAATTGCTATTACTTATCCATGCAAACGTACTGATGAGATTCTGGCATGCGATTCTACTGACTCATGCGCTTGTATGCTTCAAGTTCCTGGCAACACCCTCAGGCAACACCCTTGTCTCTTCAGTGCTCATTTAGACATAACAGTTGCTTGTTTTTTTTATAATGGCAAACTAAAGCTTGATCCTTTTTTTAAAGCACCACCGCTCCAGAGTACAAATGACCTCCGCCATTTAGAATCCCGTCTTTTAATCTTGGTGCACAAGTCCAGGAGGCATCGATAACATCTGCCCGCTCCGATCAGATACATAAAAACATACATGGAAATGGAATGTCTTCCAAAATAGTTGCTTTGGGGTCTTTTTATAGTGATGCTTGCAAATATCTCTAGTGGATGTTACAAGGGAAAGATGGAGGGAAGAAGTGACCAGGGCAGAAAAAAGAAAGAGGTACAAGTGCCTCTGTGCCTTCTGCTTCCTCCTTATCTTGCTAAAGACCTGCTTTTACAACCCCGAGGTTAGACATTATCATGTGTAAGGAGCTTTCCTTCTTCACAGTAGATGAAGCCCTGTGATTCAAGGAGAATCTGTAAACAAGATAAGCACTTCCTTCTAGAGGGTGGCTTTGCTCACTTCTACTTTAGCCATAAGCCCACATTTAATTTTTATGGTACACTCTAAAGCAGAGTCTGCTGCTCTGTGATCATTTTACAACCTGCAGCCCCTCCAAGGGGGACATCAGTACATCTTATATTACCAGAAATGCTGTCACTTCTCTTCCATTTTCCTTTTCAGCCGTTTTTTTGAGAAAAAAGAGAAAGCTTTTTAAGGTAGCTGGGAGGGAGGTGGCTTATGTGGAGCAAAAGTGTTAAGTATAAATGCAAGAAATGCATTTGATATGGTGTCAAGCAGTTAGGTGTGTCTCCGGTTTTTTCATGCATTTGCAGCTCAGCTACTTATATAGAACAGACATAACAGTCAAAGTTTTAAGTGGAACTGTAATAAATAACGCTTTATTTGTTCCACATAATCAATGTATTTTTGTCGTTATGAACACATACATGGCAATTTCTGATTTTTTTTTTGTCTTTGAACATTAGATGTATGTGTGTGTCTGTATATAGGTGATCACTCGTGACCAAGTATGAGGGAAGAGTCTTGGAGGTGACTGTAGAGACCTATTCTGGATCCACATGGTCTTCCACAGTAAATAATAATAATAATAATAATAATAATAATAATAACTACTTTATTCTTATACCCCAGCACCATCTCCCCAAAGGGACTCGCAGCTTACAAGGGGAAAAGCCCAGGAATACAGATTAAAACACATACAATAAAATAAAATAAGACAAGTTAAAATCAGCTACAACATCAAGGGGGAAAATGAAACATACAATCACATTACACATTTTAAAAGCAGTATCATGGCTGAAGAAATAATTACCAAGTGCAGTGGGATCAGGGAATGTACAATTGTTCCTAGACAGAGCCCAGGGAAGGTGCAAGGTGCACTTCAAATCAAATTAAGGTCACAGCTGGAAGGGAAATGTCCATAGGCATTTAAAATAACAAGATTACAGATGGGAGGGCCAACGTAAGTGCAAAAAGTTATGGCGAGAATGATCCAATTCTCCGGTGAAACTGCCTACTCAAATGTGTAGCAGAACACCCAGGTTTTTAACTCCTTGCGGAAAGTGAAAAGGGTAGGGGCCAATCTGATCTCTTTGGGTAGCAAGTTCCAGAGAAGAGGCCACCACCAAGAAGGCCCTTTCTCTCGTTCCTGCCAGCTGTGCTTGACACTATAGTAACTCAAGACTTAACTCCAAGAGAGGAGGTGATATAGCACTGTAATAGATGTTATGCTCACCTAGAAACATCCATGTAGGTCAGATAATTTGGAACTGGATACACATCAAGATGAACAAGTTCTGGAAAAGAACACAGATAATATTCTTTAAAAATAATAATAATAAATCACTTATTTGCTATGGCCTGAGTGTTGAATCAGCTGTGTCCATTACAGTACTTCAGTATGTAAGTAAAGGTAAAAGTTTCCCCTGACATTAAGTCTAGTCATGTCCAACTCTGGGTGGTTGGTGCTCATCTCCATTTGTAAGCCAAAGAGCCAGCATTGCCCATAGACACCTCCAAGGTAATGTAGCAGCCAGCATGACTGCATGGAGCGCCGTTACCTTCCCGCAGAAGTGGTACCTACTGATTTACTCACATTTGCAAGTTTTCAAACCGCTAGGCTGGTAGAAGCTGGGGCTAACAGCGGGAGCTCACCCCGCTCCCCGGATTCGAACTTTCAAGCTTTCTGTCAGCAAGTTCAGCAGCTCAGTGGTTTAATCTGCTGGATACACCACACTATATATAGGAAATCTAGCTGGGTACACCAGACTATATAAAGGAAACTTAGTTCTGATGTGAAGGAATGTTTTCTCCTTTCTATTATTCCCTCAAATGACAGAAAAAACTACTTCTCTCTCAACACCTGATTTTCTACATGTATGTCAGTACCTATATTTGTATGTACACATGTGCAAGTTGTGAACACACTGTTAAATCGTATCAACCCCTGCCTACAGACTGCTGTAGTGATATAGCCCAGAACAAGTTTATCTCCTCGAAGAGAACTAACCCTTTGATAAATCAATAATGCTTCATCTGAAACACCTAAGGCCCCCAGGTGTTTCTCAACCTGGGGGTCGGGACCCCTGGGTGGGTCACGGAGAGGGGGGGGTGTCAGAGGGGTCGCCAAGACCACCAGAAAACACAGTATTTCTGTTAGTCATGGGGGTTCTGTGTGGGAAGTTTGGCCTAATTCTATAGTTGGTGGGGGTTCAGAATGCTCTTTGATTGTAGGTGAACTATAAATCCCAGCAACTACAACTCCGAAATGACAAGGTCTATTTTCCCCAAACTCCACCAGAGTTCACATTTGAGCATATTGAGTATTCATACCAAGTTTGGTCCAGATCCATCATTGTTTGAGTCCACAGGACTCTGGATGTAGGTGAACTACAACTCCAAAACTCAAGGTCAGTGTCCGGTATTTTCTGTTGGTCATGGGAGTTGTGTGCCAAGTTTGGTTCAATTCCATTGTTGGTGGAGTTCAGAATGCTCTTTGATTTTAGGTGAACTAATCCCAATAACTACACCCCCCACTCCACCAGTACTCAAATTTGGGCGTATCAGGTATTTGTGCCAAATTTGGTCCAGTGAATGAAAATACCTCCTGCATATCAGATATTTACATTATGATTCATAACAGTAGCAAAATTACAGTTATGAAGTAGCAACGAAAAGAATGTTATGGTTGGGTATCACCACAACATGAGCAACTGTATTAAGGGGTCGCGGCATTAGGAAGGTTGAGAAACACTGACCTAAGGCATTTCTTAAAACATCTCAAGTTATGCTGTTTTATTGACTTTCGATTCTACACAAGCAGTCTACCCAAGCACCCTCCTGACCTTGCATTAAGCCTTCAACCCATGACGTTAGCCATAACAGTTTTCATGCAGTGAACCAAGAAAGCATAACCCCCAGTTATATTCTAGAGCTGTGGCATTCACGCTTTCACCTTGAAACAATAAAACAATTCAAACCCTGGTTATGCTGCCTCATACTGCAATTCATGCCAAAGTTCAATTATAAAGTAGTACACATGGAGCTTTAGAATGAGAGTCTTATATAACAGGAGGGTTAAAAAAAAGGAGGTGAGAGGCCAGGCAATGCATCATGATATGGTTCATGAACCTAGAACATGCACCTGTACCAGCTGCGGCACCAATTGCCTTGAGGATGAAAACAGAAGGAAAAATAGTTGAAAGTCTGCCTGTGATTTATTTAAACCTCTCAATCCTGTTATCTATTTCAGTCCATTTATCAGGATTTCCAGCCAAAAACAGAGACTAAAAAGCCCAACACAAATCTTTCCCATGCCCAGTAGAGGCAGTGTTGAACAAAATAAGGCCGTACACAAACCCACTTCATTTGCTTAATTTATACAAGTTGCTCAGTCTAATCACAGCGAAGGTCCACAAGTTTTCCTGCTACATTCAGCTACAGCAATTGAAAAACTGTATAACAATACAAGGAACTATCTGTATACACACAGAGAGGCTAACCACTTATGAGCCAACCCAGCACTAAAGTTGCTGCTTACAAGTTCTAGCCAGTTCACAACCACTTTCATTGCCAGGGTAAACAGTAGCAGATTAGTGTCTAACAGTGTCCCTTCCGCAATGAAAGAGACAGATGAATGTTGAAGGGAAGAACAATTTTGCAGGCTTCAAAGCTGATAACGTACCATTTGCAGTGGCATAAAGAGCTTTCAGCAGGTATCCGCTGATTTTGAGAGTTACCAGCTGGTTTCTTTCACAGTGCAGTATTTCAACATTATTGAAGATGGTGGCATCTAGCTCGCCTAGTTTATTGTCCCGAAGGTCAAGCTGGGTCACGTGATGTAGGAAGTCAGCTTTGTCCGCCACCAGCCTTTTGATTACATTTAACCTGGGGTAAGAGTGGGGGGGAAAAGAAAATTAAGGTAAGATATACTGACATTTTTTTCGTGTCAAGAGCGACTTGAGAAATTTCAAGTCGCTTCTGGTGTTAGATAATTGGCTGTCTGCAAGGACATTGCCCAGGGGATGCCCAGATGTTTTACCATCCTGTGGGAGGCTTCTCTCATATCCCCGCATGAGAAGCTGGAGCTGACAGATAGGAGCTCAACCTGTTCCTGGATTCGAACCTGCTGGCACAAGGGTTTAACTCACTGTGCCACGGGGGGCTCCATACAGACATTCATTTAGATCAGGGATCCTCAAACTAAGGCCTGGGGAGTGGATACAGCCCTCCAAGGTCATTTACCCGGCCTTCACTCAGGGCCAACCTAAGTCTGAAATTACTTGAAAACACAGAACAACAATCCTATCTCATCAGCCAAAAGCAGGTCCACATTTCCCACTGAAATACTAATAAGTTTATATTTGCTAAAATTGTTCTTCATTTTAATCATTGTATTGTTTAAAGTGTTTTTTGCACTATAAATAAGATATGTGCAGTGTGCATCGGAATTCACTCATGTTTATTTCAAATTATAATCCTGCCCCCCAACAGTTTGAGGGACTGTGACCTGGCCCTCTGTTTAAAACGTTTGAGGACCCCTGATTTAGATTATTCAAAGGCTGGCAAGCAAAAAGATTGGCTCTTTGATAAAACCAGTCAATGCATATTTGGTGAAGGACATCTTGCAGAACATTTTGCTATATTTTTTCAATGAATATCTCGAATCTCAACCAATTTAAGATAGTTTGCAGCAGCTACAAAAACAAGTTATGGAGTATAACTACTACTTTCAAAGTAAGTACTGCCCAATTAAACAGGAATAACACTTTTTAAGCCAGGAACACGTTTTTTCCAAATGCTGTTACATAGTGTTATGCTAACATACTTGTGGGTCCCATGTAATGCACACTTACTTTTTAGAATGATATAATACCCTTTACTCACTAGCCATTAAAGTCAAGATATGATTGCCCATGAAAAGCCAAACTAAACCTACAATTGTCATCTCTCACTAACTGTGCACCTCTCATAGGACATGCAGTAGGCCTGCAAATTATATGAGTTTGTGTTCCATGGTTTCAGTTATATGTAAAGACCACCTCCACTAACAAAGGCAAGGGTACTGAGGGACCATGATGTGCCCCAAAAACCCTGCTTCTTTTGGGGGGGGGGATTTGGCAAGAAGTCCAATTGCATGTAGCCAGACACCTCTCTCAACCAAGAAAGGAGGTCATCTCCTTACTCTGTTGAAATAACTCAGGCTGAGCTTCCATTCATCAAGAAAGGAAACTGACTCCATCACGGGAGGGAAAAAACACAGCTGGTCTTTGGTCTATGTACATCATAAGTGACTAAATATTCACTAATATATTTCTGAATTTCTGATCACTCACAAAATTTAGCTGGCTTTGCCGATTTTGTTTCTTTTTTATATTTATTGAACTTTGAATTTTAAAGGCTAAAGCTAAAACAGAGCCACAAATTCCTTAAATTGTAGAAACTTTGGATAATAAGTTACTAAAGAAAATCAATAGCATGAAACTCTTCAAATATTTAAGCATGCATACTTTTGAAAAGGTAGTGCAATTAAGACTTGGTACTCCATCTATGTTCTGAGAAGATGACTCAGCTTTCAAGATACAAGTGGGGAGAAGTCATACATGCCTATAATATCATCAGCAAAAGTGGGCAAAGAGACCTTGACTTGCTCAGCCTTTGATATAATGCAGAAATTAAGTTGATCTATAAAAAGCAGCCACTTGGACAATTTCATTGTACTCTGAAGATTTCTATTTTATTCTCAGTGCTGGAGCTGACAAGATCAATTAAATCACACCACCAAAACAAGGCTTTGGGGTGTAATGAAAGGACTGGAAGCACTGAACAGCAAATGTACAGCATTAAAAATAATGTACTCCCTTCACCTAAAATGTACCACATGCCTCCTTCAGAAAATCTACGTGCAAAACTAAAGGTAGGTTAAAGAGTTAATTACAAAGCTTAATGCAGGTGGACCGTTGTGGGAAGTCAGTGTGGTCCTTCACCCAACAACTCTCCAGAGGTCCTGACACCCAAGAAAGATGTTTTTGGCCTCAATCATATTTTAAATGTTAAAAGTCCCTCTCCAGAGCCACTGCACACTACAGTAGATTCTCACTTATCCAAACTTCGCTTATCTGACCTCCTGTGTTATCTGACGCTCTTATCCAACACTCCCCACCCCCTTTTCCTTCAGCATTTCCCCTTTAGAGGCCATGTTTTTAGTTTCCTCCTTTCTTCCGGGGCTGCAGGTTTAGCACTGCTGGTAAATCATCAGAAATTATAAGAGCTATCAACCAAAAGGTTGCAAGTTTGAAACCCCGGGTTGGCGTGAGCTGCCAACTGTCAGCCTAGCTCGTTGTTTACCTAAGCAATTCAAAAACAGCTTTAGCTGTGATTAGAGAAATTACGTACCGCTAAAAGTGGGGGAGGTGTTTTATGATGCCATAAAGAAAGAAGATGCTGGGCGACCAAAAGGAAGGAGGAAGCCCTGACGGCTCTTCATCATGGAGGATAGAGCAACAGCACCCCCAACCTTCCATGGCACCTCCTTCTGTTCTGTCTGTCTGTGTATTGTCTATACACAAGCGGCATTGAATGTTTGCCGTGTATGGGTACTGTGACCCACCCTGAGCCCCCTTCAGGGTGAGAAGGGCGGAATATAAATAAAGTGTTAGCATTATTATTATTCCCCATTTGGGCCAGTACTGCTCTGCGGACCCAATGGTTCTGTCTCCCCCCCTCCCAGTAATAGTTCAGTCCAAGTTGGAAGGAGCGGCCATGGCTATGCACAAGTTTGTAGGAAATATGGGAAAAGAAGAGAAAAGAAAAGAATGAAGATGGGCAGTTGTCTTGAGGATTTGCGTAAGTATACTATCCACCTTTTCATTACAATTCCTTGTTTCTTGCTCTTTTTTCCATCAGTGGTGAGTGAGTTTTCTTCTTGTGTCTGGAAAACCAAAGAGAAGGAGAACTCGCTCCCCACTGATCTCTGTCAGGATAGAGATATGAACTTCAGAAGCCTCCGTATTATCCAACATTTTCATTTATCCAATGGCCTGCCGGTCTGATTATATTGAATAAGCGAGACTCTACTGTATTTTAAGAACTTGCCCAGAACAGCCTCCTACTCATCTTCTCAGAAGAAACAGGTAAATGTTCATTGGATTCTGGTCAGTTCTCAGAGAAGATTATGGTGGCGATTCATGTTTTATATTTAATAATGTTGAATTAATATTAATAATTTTGACATTTTATAGTTTTAAAAAAACTCCGATTATAGCATACAAATCTGAAATTTTTATTGCTAACATGAAAAATGTGCTGATAGATCATGAGTTCTAATGGTAACATTTTTAAAAAGTGGCCAACATATCTTATTGCTTTCTTCTAAAACAGCTCCTTCACAATGACGTTTTCATTCTCTCGCTGTTTGTAACCTACCTTAGGTCTATGTGTTTAATGTGTGGCATCCTTCTCAATGTCTGCAGGTTGAGTGTCTCCATGCAGTTTCCAGACATGCAAAGTTTATCCATGGCAGGCAGCTTCTCCAATATTTCAGGAATGTCAGTGAATTCATTGAAAGAAAGACCAAGATAGCTAAGTTGGTGCATCCTTTCCAATTCAACAGGAAGGCTCTGGAGGAAGTTCCCATCCAGTAAGAAGGTCTGCAAACTGTTGGAAGAGAAGGACAGAGGAAGGATATAAATAATAACAAAAATCTTACCTTGTTCATAAACGCATCTTTGAAGCAAATGGTTTAGTTAAGACTCTACTACAGATATCCAAAAACCTGTCACAGCTAGCGACCCACAAATTAGGTAATATTCACAGGAACATGTATGATTAACTGTTAGAAAAGTTCTCAGTTACCTTGTTTGAAAGCCTTTCTGGAGCTAAGAAAACTCAAATTCCTTCTCTATTCTAGAAAGTTCTAGACATGCCTCAACAATGTGGATGACACAGTTAATTCTAATGTCATGGATTCCTGGGACCTTCCAGTTAAGTCTTGGCTATTGGTCAGCCTCCAAGGGTAATAGAAGTCAAAATAGACCCATTTCAAGTCTAACATCGGTTCATCTGTGTCTTGGGTCTTCACCAAATGATCCTGTAATGGTGATGGGACCAAGATAAAGCCTTCCCCTATAGATCTTAGAATTATGGCAGGTTTGTATAGAGAGATATAAACAAACCTGAGTCTGGGAGTATATTCAAACTGCAAACCTGTGTTTTCAGGGGAAGCGTAACCTCATATAATACATGCCGACTCCCATATTCCTTGATCTGCCTTCTGACTCACGAACAGTCTTTCTGAATTGTCTGGATTAAATTTCATTTTGTTTCCCCTCATCCCATCCCATAAATACTAATTTTGAACTGGGGCATCCTCCTTGGAGAGAGGTGGAAAAGAAGACTCCCAGTGATTTCATGTATATGTTAAATTGAATGGAGGACAAAACAGAACCCTGAGGGAGCCCACAATGGCCAAGTACTATCTTCTGGGTTTGCATCTCAGTGAAGCAGCGGGGCCACTGTAAAACAGTACCTTCAAGTCCCATCCAAGCAAGGTGGCCTAGAAGTTTACTATGGTCAATTGTATCAAAAGCCACAAAAGGGTTCAGGCAAAACTAACTGGGAGGCACTCACCTTGTCCAATTCTTTATGCAAGTCATCCACCAAAGCAAACAAGGGCTGCTTTTATTGCCTTGGTGGATGATTTACGGAGTGAACCAGACAAGGGAAGTCCCATAGCCAGGCCTGATACCTGTATCTAGATAATACATTTCATAGAATTATAGAGTTGGAAGAGACCTCATGGGCCATCCAGTCCAACCCCCTGCCAAGAAGCAGGAAAATTGCATTCAAAGCATCCCAACAGATGGCCATCCAGCCTCTATTTAAAAGCCTCCAAAGAAGGAGCCTCCACCATACTCCGGGGCAGAGAGTTCCACTGCTGAACTGCTCTCACAGTCAGGAAGTTCTTCCTAATGTTCAGATGGGATCTCCTTTCTTGTAGTTTGAAGCCACCTAGAAACCCCTGGAAGTGGAGTCTACCATTTGGTCCAAAAAGCTTTCTTTAAATTATAAGTTGAACATTTAGCAATAACTACACTATTTTTGTTTCTGGGTAATAAATGTCATTTCCTAATTAGTTCTGTCATAGAAACATGGAAAAGGTTTATTAAACTGCAAAAACTTTGTGTTTGCAGGACATCCTGCAGCACATTTTGCTATAGTTTTTCAATTAATATCTCATAGAGCCTCGACCAATTCAAATTGGTTTGTGGCAGCCACAAAAACAACATTTCTGTAGTATAACAACTACTTTCAAAGTAAATACCACATAATTAAACAGGAAATAACACTTTCAAACCAGGAACATTTTTTCTTTTTCTTTTTTTGCATAGTATTATACAACATAGAGAAATTCGGGGGATGGCTTTTCAACAAAAGACTTCTTAAATGGTTCCTTTAGATAAGCTTTTATTTCCGTGTCAGGTGCGATTTGAGAGACTGCAAGTTGCTTCTGGTGTGAGAGAATTGGCCGTTTGCAAGGACATTGCCCAGGGTTTTACCATCCTTGTAGGAGGCTTCTTTCATGTCTCCGCATGGGGAGCTGGAGCTGACAGAGGAAGCTCATCCTAGCTCTCCCCAGATTTGAACCTGTCAGTCTTCAATTCTGCCGGCACAAAGGTTTAACCCATTGCGCCACCTTCACCTACTGACCAGTCCCTTGTTTGATTTTTTTGGGAATGGCAAGGGTCTGCTTATATTACTACAAGCAACCCAACAAATCAGGATGGACCTGCATGCATTGGAACATCACATAGAAATGGCTTCAATACCAGCTGTGTTAGCATAGATTAAACAGGAAACCAGCTGTCTACTGCTGAAATAGAGATACTCTTATATCAAGGAATTTTCATTCTGAATGGTGTCAGTGCTGACTATACAAGAAATCTACTATCAGAACACAGACCAAGAGCAAGGTCTGAAGCAGGAGCACAAGAGAAATGCAAATAAAATAAAAGTTTTGCAAAAGGACCCAACTATTTGACAGAAGTAGCCTATGTGTCATTAGTGATAGGGAAGTGTGCAGACACAGGCGGCTTAGTTGCATCTCGCTTCTCTTGATGCCAACTCAGTCTATTTGACAGAAGGCATTACTATATCTCCGACTGAAAAAATAAGCAAGAAATGAATTCTCAAAGAGTGCCAAATGTTATTAAGGCACATCATGTTTCAGAAAATAACTTTCCTTCTACAGGGAAATCTTAAACACACATTCCTTTTAGCTCTCAATCTGAATTAAAAGTGTCTCTACTTTCTATGACCAACAGCGAGCTTACTGTGAATCTCTGGCACAAGTCCCTTGCACAAACTTAAGGAGACATGCCTCCCTATCATATTAAGGTTTTCAATCCAGAAATGTTGCTGCTGAGCGACAAATTTGCTTGTGGAAAATGCAAAAGTGTGTTGATCTCCCTTGCAAGGGGTGTAATTCACCATATTAAAGATGCTGGGGCGACAGATATGGATGGATGGCAGAACGAATTTTCTTTCACCACCATGAAAACTCCAATTCTCCTCCTTTACAATATAAGTAACTTTTACGAGTGATTTTACTGACACACCAAGCAAACAGTCGAGCTGTGGTCAAAGCTTGCTCTCTCCCAGCTGACACCAACCAATGTGTACTGCAGTTTCCACTCTGTCTCAACTGTGTCTCCAGACAGAAACCTTTTGACTTACTCTCAAGAGGAAGAACTTATAAGAAGTGAAATGGAGGGAGTCATTCTGCAGGCATTGAAGACATGCTTTCCCCATGACCTATGTTTTTGGTTTAACCTACTGAAAGAATCTGGTGCATCCAGAGTTCATGTTGCCCTTGCCATCTTTCAGTATGTACTTACTTGTTCATATCACCGACGGCTACTGGAATATTTTTGAGTGCATTGCAGGACACGTTGAGCTCAGTCAAGGTTGGAATGCTGCAAACTGCCAAGGGGAACTCTCCTAAGTGATTGTTAGAAAGGTTAAGGCTTCTCAGCTTGCTGAACCTATCATGGAGAGAGAGAAAAAGAGAGGAACAAATATATAATAAACTAGGTATCAAATGAATTACATCTTACATGGAATGTTAAAACACGGCTGGAATGTGGATGCTCAAAATTGTGACAAACCCTAATTCTCCCCAACCCTTCAAATATATATATATAACCATGAGCAAAAAGTTCTCAAGTGGCTTTCCTTTCAAAGCATATCCTTACTTGCTATCATCAAGAAAAATCCAATGACGCTTTCAACTGACTTCACAACTCAAATATTGCATGTAAAATATGTAAATACATGGTTTTAAATTAAATTATTTGATTTGTAATTGTGACGAACAAGCACTATTGGAGGATAAATAAATGGAAAAAGAGCAGTAGTAGTTTAGCAACTGCAGAAAGTAGTGATGGAACTATTTGTTAATTTTTGTTATTTTTTTCCTTTTACCTGAGAAATGATGGCTGATTTTTTTAAAAAACCAAAAGCAACAGGGGCCTGTTCAGTTCTTCTCTAAATGCATCAAAGAAAGATACTCTGATGCAGATGGAAGTTGTACGTCAAAATATCTAGCAGACTCAAGGGTCATCGTCCACTCCATATATTTATTTATTTACCGTATTTGTATAACGCCTTTCTCAGCCCGAAGGCAACTCAGGGCGGTTTGCAGTCAATGCCCCAAAAGACATAAAATTACAATTATAAACATTTAGCATATATATAAAAACCATATAAAACCAATAAAAACATAAATAATCAGCGTCTCCTTACTAAAATCATTTTCCAATCGCACCATCCAGTTGTTCTGTAGTTCCATATTGACCTGTTACGCTGCATTTGCAAGAGCTTGCTCAAAGAGCCAGGTCTTGTCCTTTTCACAAAATGTTAAGAGGGAGGGGGCCGATCCGTAGGGACGCCGTTCCATAGCATTGGGGCCACCACTGAGAAGGCCCTGTCTGTTATTCCCGTCAGACACATCTGAAAAGCTGCTTTCCTAGGGTAGACAATACGACTTTCCAAGAGCTTCTTGTGATACTATAATCTACGTTCTGTACATTTAAGCCTAGTAAACACTGCCATCTTTGCCACTAGAAAGGGCAAGGTCAATTGATTTAAGAAAACAATTTCTGGAGCTTTCATTAAGCTGTCCTTACTTGCAAACACATCTCACTACTTCGCTTTTTAAAAAAAAGCTTATTTCCCTGCACACATACATATATTTTCCCAGAACGATAGCTACACTTGCAAAAAGCAGCAAAAACAAAGTTTTGTGTCCTCATGGAGACTATGCAATTACCGTATATACTCGAGTATTAGACAAGTTTTTTGGTCTTTTTTAAGGCTGAAAAGCCCCCCTTGGCTTATACTCATCAAGGTTATTTATTATTTTACTCTGTTATTATTATTATTATTATTATTATTATTATTATTATTATTATTACTATTCTATTACATTTATTATTTTTCTCTATATATCATCATTATTATTACATTTATTATTTTACTCTATTATTATTACATTCATTATTTACTCTATTGTTAATACAATTATTGTTTTACTCTATTGTTATTATTACATTCATTATTCTACTTTATTATTATTTTTATTACATTTATTATTTTACTCTATTATAATTAGAAGGCTACATAAGCACATTTACATTGAAGAAGGTTAGGATAATGGTTTAATCAGAGTTGCACAGTTTTATCTTAAATTGAAGTTTTATGTAAATATTCAAAAACATTTAACCTACTGATGCCTCAATTAATGTAATTTTTATTGGTATCTATTTTTATTCTGAAATTTACCAGTAGCGGATGCATTTCCCACCCTCGTCTTATACTCGAGTCAGTCCGTTTTCCCAGTTTTTTGTGGTAAAATTAGATGCCTTGGCTTACATTTGGATCGGCTTATACTCGAATATATACAGTAGTTTTCTGTGACACATAATCAATAATCTCAAAACAAGGAGCCAGTTCTACAAATGTAGGGCTGATTCTTCCCATAAGCAAATAGGAAGGTGGCTGTTGAACAGCTTTTATAATTTAAACCTATTTAATTTAAACCTATTATTTTCATGTTCAGTGATTAAATTCATGGCTAGGAGGCAACAAATGCTCTTCTTTTCTACTACATGAAGAAAAAAGTGTTGCTAAATGGAAATTAAAACAAGACTTCCTTTAATTATCCCATGATTTTGCTAAACACTGCTTCCTGTATATGCTCATGTATAAGTCTAGAAATTTTAGTTAAAAAATCAATCCCCAAAACCTGGCTTATAATAATAATAATAATAATAATAATAATAATAATAATCTTTATTTATACCCCACCACCATCAGGGCAGTTAATCCACGGGTCAAATGTAAATTCTGTACCTTAATTCTTATTCACAAAAGGGGCCAATCTTTATCTCAATTCTTGCTCAACAATGGAAAAGTGAGAGTGAACTCCAACACAGGAAAACCTTTAAAAAGGATCAGCTCCCTTCTAAAAATAATAATAACTTTATTTTTATACACTGCCACCATCTTCCCAAAGGGATTCGGGGCAGCTTATTTGGTCCCAGCTTACATGGGACCAAATATTCATTAGACAATAAACAAACAATCCATCAAAAAAAAAAAGCACAATTAAAATAATAACATAATCAAACTGAGCATTTGTCCAGTTCTCTCCCTGCTTTTTAATATATCTGAGTGGGAAAATGACAGTGGCAGCAAGGAGTGGCTGGACCCCTTGAGGGATGCTTTCCCTTCTCCGTGGAATGACCCTTGACTTATACATAGGGATCAAAATTTGCTTTTAACTTATACATGAATATATACAGCAGTGGTTTACAACCTGTGGTCTGTGGATCAGCAGTGGTCTGCAAGAACAAAAATATGGTCCGCAGCCTCACCGTTACTACACTGTTGCCTCGAAACCACATGGCAACGGGAGTGACTGGTCTCGTGAAACCTTCTTATAGTGCCGAGGCAATGGGGATATCAGGAGGGGAGAAGCTGACTACCCACAAAAGATTACTACTACCACATCAGTTCTAGATTATTAAATATAGTTTTCTGAGGGCTAGCAGGTGGTGACTACTGGAGGGCATATGTTCTGTATCAGAAACTAGAGCTGATGTAGTATATCTAATGCAATTTTCAGAATCAGCACCCCAAATAACCAAACCGAATCTAAATTCGACCAAAAATTGATTCGTAATCCTTTTTGGTCCTAATGTTGGAGAGTGGTCTTTGGTCAAAGTAGTTCCTGGCCAAGTGGTCTCTGGTCAAAAAAAATTAGGAACCACCGATATATAGTAAGCTTTTCCTCAAGTTTCTTTCTGCAACTATGAGGGCTAGGAACATGTTCCATTTCTTGACACCTTCATAATTCCTTGGCAAGCTCTATAATCCAGGCCTTATGCTCTGTAGTCCCACAAATCCTTCAATGCGCACCCTGACTTCTCCTGCTATTTCAAGCAAATCAACTTCGCTGATTAGGTATCTGATGGGAGTGGGACATAGGCAGCAGTTCTTGGAACAGAAAACATATGCTGCATACCGTGGCTCTGTTCATTTGTCACAATTTTACTATTAGGCAGAAAATTATCATCATTAGGGGCTTTCGCAAGCTTGAGCAATGCCTCACAGTTAAATCTTCAATTAGCAGACCTTGTCAAGAAGCAATTCCTTAATATCTAACTTCAAACTCCCTGTCCCAGATAAAAAGAGCCAGCTTGAGAATTGGAGTTTGGATAATAAGGTAAATCCCTGTTCAGTTATGGAAACTCACTGGATGGCTTTGGGCAAGCCACTTACTCTCAGCCTCTGAGGAAGGCATAGGCAAATCCCCTCTGACCAAAATTGGCCAAGAAAATCCCATGATAGTGCTAGGGTAGAAACAGATCAACAGCATAACAACAACTGCTTTTTCAAACCCAAATTCCATCTCTCTATCTATCTATTAAAAAAACAAAAGCCTTTCCTTGAAATGCCAAGGGAAATTTCCTTGAATTCTTGCTCTAGCATCTAAAATGCAGAACATCTTGATTCCCAGAAAAAGAGGGCAAAACGTGATGCAATTACTCAGGGAAGAGAAAGGACAACCCAGTTACCCAGGCTGCATGTGCAGCCACATTGTTCGGGTTGCCTAACAACAGAGACCGGGAGGTGTGCCCACAGGCAACCAACTAAATGGCTTGGTGAAAAGATCTGTGTCAGATCCAGATGGATGAGAGGAAGCTCTTTTCCTGACAAAGTTTACTGGACAGCTTTGTTTTCCCTTCATTAAATCTCCCCCATTGTGTGATGGGCGTGATTAGGGGGCATAGAATCAACATACACCTACACGAAACCACAGAGACCACCATGCTATTCATCAAGCATTGCAGCCTCAAGAGGGGAAAAGGCACTCAGATGGCTCCCACAAAGTTAACATTTTCTCTCCCAAATTTTGTCCTTCACCATAAGAGAGAATTAGGCAAATAGTTCAAAGGAAAGCAGTTCAGTTTTAGTAAGTGGGTCGATCACACAGAAAAAGAAACAGTAAGCTGAGACATAGTACTGTATATACTCATGGATAGGTCAGACTAAAATTACTAGACACACATGAGTATATAGGGGGATTTTTTATGGGACTAGCTAAATCTATCTAAAGAAGGTTCCCAATCTTTTTTTGACCAGGGACCACTTGGCCAGAGACCACTTTGACCAGGGACCACTCTCCAACATTAGTACCAAAAGGGTTACAAATAAGTTTTTGGTCAACTTTAGATTCGGTTTGGTTATCTGGGGTGCTGATTCAGAAAATTGCATTGGATAGACCACATCAACTCTAGTTTTCGATACAGACTATATTCCATTCAGTAGCAGCCATCTGCTCACCCAGAGAAAACCATATTCAATAATTAGAACTGATGTGGTCTATCCAATGCAATTTTCTGAATCAGCACCCTAAATAACCCACGGAACAGGGCTAAAAATGAAGACACCAAGGTGTCCCCGCTTCCAGGCACATGGA